TCCGGCACTGTAAACGTAACCAGCGGTAGTGCAGAACACGTAGGGGCTGCGGGGTCAGAGGGGAGATTTGGAATAGGGTTTCTGACACAGCCCGTCAAAATGTCGCGCTTGGCACATCTGTCCTGCAGCAGCTACTGCATGGAGTTTCAAGAGAAACAAAAAAGAATTATGGGGGTTTTTTTAGCCACTCGCACGTCACATTGCAACATTTGGTATGGTGGGTAGGAAGTTTCAGAAATCCCAAAGCATGTAAAACCCCCAAAATAGAATTGCCGCGCAATTTACACTGCGTTGGAAAACTTAGCCTTTTGATTATTTCTTACCCTCTGCCCAGAGAGAACATTATAGATGTTGTTATTATTACCAAATGACTCTTCTTTTTGTTGGTTTTTTTTTTTTTGCAGGTGTGCTACCATCAGGATGCCCGAAGTAAACACAGATCACCTGGATGAGCAGCAGGTGCAGCTCTTGGCAGAGATGTGCATCCTTATTGATGAAAACGATAATAAGATTGGAGCGGATACCAAGAAGAACTGTCACCTGAATGAAAACATTGACAAAGGTACAGCTTGCTTGCCTTCTAAATGAACCATTAATTTGATGGAATATTTTCAGAAATACAGTCATGATTAAGTTAAAGCCTTAATCTCAGGTGGGTGTTGCATCAAACCAGAGCAAGTACTCCCCTTTCTCCCCCACTATACAATATCCGATTTTAAAAATACTACAATATGGAGGAACACACTATTGGAGCCAGTAGCAAAGGAGAGAAATGTGTGTTTGCAGATACAAGGTATATGTCTTGATAAATATTTTTAACCACATTTTGATGATAAAATAGTATTATTTTCCTATTATAAATATCTGATTCTGTGTAGTTTTTTCTAAAGAATGCCACTTCTTCTCTACTGGGTTGTTTTCAAGTACAAGAGACTTTAATTTTTAAGTAGTTCATGCAGAGTTCTACTTCAAATACTGCTAATAGGAAAAGGTGTTTTTTTGTTGTTGTTCTCATTCTAGTTGATGAGGGATCTTATTTGAGGTTGGTCAAATTCATGAATCTCTTGCAGTTGTTTGTGACCTCCTTTTCCATACTCAGGGGATGCATCTTCCTGCAGTGAGGAATAATGAGCTCAGAAGTTGCAGAAAACAGCAATTGTACTGTTTTTAAGGGATTTTGTGCTTCTGCAATTCCTGAAGCTTCTTGAAATCCCATACAATTTTTTAGGGCTTTTTGAGTCTTCTCTTTTTGATAGTAAGTTTATGGATGCTGAGTCTTCCTTAGAAGCTTGCTCAAAAGTATATCTCCGGAATGGTGAACTGACCAAGTTTAGTAGAACTCTTTTGTTGCATTGTTGTTCTTAGCACTTTTTAAATTTCATTATGTTTTGCATAAGCTGACAGAGAAACCTAAACAATAACTCATATTTTTTTTATTAAATCCTTGCTTTTTAATGTGTATCAATTTTAAATTTGGGTTACTCAAAAATGAGAGCATTCTAAGCTCTTAAACTCGGTCTTTGTAGGTTTTCTTTCTCTTCTTAAAAAGCTTTCTGTTTCTCTTTTTGTTTTGTTTTAGGTTTATTGCACCGAGCTTTCAGTGTTTTCTTATTTAATACAGAAAATAAACTGTTGCTGCAGCAAAGGTCAAATGCAAAAATTACATTTCCAGGTTTGTACTGAAATAGACTGTATTTATTAAAATGCTGTATTTAAATCAATATTTTTGAAATGTGCCAGTCTTAATTTTGCCGTGTGACTCACTCTAAGTTTTTAGAATGTACTTCTTTAGAGAGGAGATATTTTTAAGAGTTCGAGATGTACTTACCTTATGGATGAAGTAAGATAATGGGAACACTAGCTTATTGTTACACATACTCTTGGAAAATGATCGTTCCCTGACTTGCTTGATCCTGTTTATGCAAGTGCAGAGTGTGCGTTGTTTACCTCCTCCGCTGCAAGACCTGTTTAGTGGAGTTAAAGCAATTGCTTTGGGAGCTGTAGAGAGTGTTCTCGTTCCACTGGTAAAGACATGTAGTTGATGTATAGTGGAGCCCTGCTGCTTGGAAGCAGTTGCACCATGTTTCAGTGAGATCCGTGAACCTTTATCTGTGTATTTCTTAACAAACGCTTTTTTAACTATAGAAAAAATGAGACTGTGTGGTCAGAGTACGTAGTGCATGCTTTTTGAAGACTCCTGAACTATTATTATCAAATGCAAATGGAGAGGCATAAAAATGAGAAGCGGAATGAAAGAAAAATAGCTTACATGAGACATGTTGGAGGAAGCATAAAGCTGTCCGATTCTGAATTTCGGTTGGAAAATGAATTCGGGTGTTTCTAACCCTCTTCAACTCAGGGAATAAAGACCTGGTTTTCCTTCCAAGGGAACATTTGGGGATTTTTTTTTTTTTTCCCTTGACCACTAACTGATGAAAATGCTCAAGTGTAGTTTGTAAGTAATCTGACTCTATTTTAGATGCTTTTGAGGTAGACTCTTAGGGATAAAAGGCTGGCCAATCAGTTATTCTACGTTACTGATATATCAAAATACATAGGAGAGAGAGAGATATATATCAGTGTATACTTATATACTGATATATATATTTTAATGTACTTAAAGCAGAGAGTATAGAGTGTTTGTTCTTTAACACAAGCATAAACTGTTTATTTACTTCTACTTGTTGTCAGCTAATCTTGAAGCTCTGGGAGTATTTTCAATAGTCTGTTGCATGTAAACTCCCCAAAGTCATTTTAATTAGTGTTTGCAGGATAAACAAGCATTTCTCAAACTGGCTCTCTAAGTAGATGCCATCTTGGGTGTGAGAATGTATGTGTTTATGTGTATCGAACACTAACCTGCGAAGTAGTGCTTGGTACAGACAAATCTTGGTGCAAAATACGGAAAGAAAAACAAGAGGTGAAAATATCCTCTGTTCTCTCTGACCCTCCTCTACAAAAGAGAAACAAAGCTGTGATGTGTTGAATAGCTGTCCTACCTCTCTGGCTTTTTTGGTTTGGGGCTTTTTTGGTTTGGGGCTTTTTTGGTTTGGGGCTTTTTTGGTTTGGGGCTTTTTTGGTTTGGGGCTTTTTTGGTTTGGGGGGTCTTTGTGTTTTTTTTTTGTTTTTTTTTTGTTTTTTTGCAATACTTTATACATGTCAAAAATATACTGATACAAGCTTCTTGCAGATTGTTTTACCAACACTTGTTGCAGTCATCCTCTAAGCCATCCACTGGAACTGGAAGAAAATAATGCCATTGGTGTTCGGAGAGCAGCACAGAGACGACTGAAAGCAGAATTAGGAATTCCCATGGAGCAGGTAAAGGAAGGAAGGAGAAACAGGAATTCTTGCCAGTGTTTGCCAATTTACAGGCTAACTGCATCTGGCAGACAGGGTCAGCCTGAAACCAAAAAATGAATTTAACTTTGGGCCCATTTCTGGTACCTTCCTTTCTGGTGGCAGTTTGGGAGCACACAGAGAGCAGGGTGAAGCTGGCTGAATTACACTCCTGGTTGAAATCTCTTTCCACATTTTGTAGCTAATGACGTTTGTGTCATGGGACACAGGAGAGGCAGTGTGCTACTGGGAAACAGGATGGTTAGATTGTTCCCAGAATTAATTACCTGGTCTGCCACTTGCACAGGTGCTTGGTAGGTCAGGGTTATGTGTGGTCTGTCAGTCCGCAGTTCTGGCCTTGGCTTTAAGTAACTGTCAAGTCTTTTCCTTGGGAGGTAAGGGGCAGGTGCAAGTGTTTGTGTTCATCGGTGTTTCAGTAAGCGTGCGTTCAGGTCCGGTAAATGTTATTTAAAATTACTGTATAGAAGATGTCCACTCAAAATATTACAGGGTGAGTCTGACTAGAGAAATGCTCTGCAATTCATGTCATGAAAGTACAATAAAAAATGTTTTTCATAGTAATTATTTGTTAAGAAGTACATTGCAATTGTACACTTAGGGGGAAAAATTATTTTGAAGGAATAGGGCAATAGCTGGTAATTCTTCTGTAATGCCCAGCAGTGCTAATTAGTGTGGTTCGGCACTGGTTCTGACAAGTGTTTTGGTTGTAGGTAACACCAGAAGAAATCTCCTATCTGACGAGAATTCACTACAAGGCCAAGTCTGATGGGATCTGGGGTGAACATGAGATAGACTACATCCTATTTGTACGGAAGGATGTAACGCTGAATCCCGACCCTAATGAGATCCAAAGCTACTGCTACGTGACACAGAAAGAACTGAAACAGCTCTTGGACAAAGCCTCCAAGAATGAGGTTAAGATTACTCCATGGTTTAAACTAATTGCAGAGACCTTTCTTTTTAAGTGGTGGGATAACTTACCTAACTTGAACAAATTTGTTGATCATGAAAAAATACACAGAATGTAAATGGCTGGGGGGGAAAAAGATGCTGAAGGCTAGCGGTGATGTGCTGTCTCATTAACGCTATGGTAACTCGTGACTATGGAGTGCAGAAAAGTGATCCACCTGGAGCATGTTTAACAGATAACTTTATACAGAGATGGTTATAACCAGTGTTTTTTTCTTCTCTCTTCCCCTCCTCTTCCCCCCAGCCCTGTTCCTTCTGGCCAAGTTAAGCTTAATCTTTTGTGAGATGGGTACCGGTAACATAAGAAATCCCCTGGGTTCAGCTTTCTCCATTGCCTGGTGTGATATCCAAGATCCTCAGCCTGTGTGTGCCCGGTTTGCTGTTACCCCCTCGCATAGGGACAGGAGCTGCAGGGGCGTTTGGGCGGCTCCTCTCCAGCTCATTTGGCGGAGCTGGTACGTTCCCAGCTGTATGTGACTACGCCTTCTAAAATAGGGATTACAAAAGAACTTGAGTTCTGCATTGGTGTTGAGAAGACTAGTTGCCTGGAGAAAAAAAAACAATTAATTCAAAGCAATCAGGATGATTTTAATGGCAGAAAGCAAATCTCTTCAGCTGCTGGACTCTATAATTAACTAAACACACAAAAGCTTAAGTAACTGGATTGTCTGTGTGGACTGAGTTTCACTTTGAAGTGCTGCAATATGGGTCATAGCTTTAGATAATAGATACGGGGGGGGTTGGGTTGTTTTTCCCCACCATCCTTTTCTGATTAATTGATGGCTGAGTACTGGACATGTCTAAAGGTGTGGGGGGAGGTAATTACACCAAATGTAAACGTGTAATATAACCAACTCTAATACAGGAGTAGCCTGTCTTTGGAGTAGGGATATGCATTCAGTGAGTCTGCTCCATCTTCCAGAAAACAAAGGTATGTCGAGATAAGCTTTTTTTTCCCTGCAACATCTACAGTAAAAGTCATTCGTGGGAAAACTCGAACCCCTTGAACTCCAGAATTCAAGATTGATGATTTATAGGCTTACACCAGGTCTTAATTTCAGTTAATCAGAAATTGCACCAGAGTGCAAGAGCTAATGCTTTTTGATCCTGCGGTAAATTGCGAGTAACAAGACTAAAATGGAAGGCTTTCTTTTAGTAAGACAAGTAATCAAGGGTATCTCAATTTTAATTTAAGATTTTTGTGTTTGGGGTTTTTTTTCCCACAAAAAAGCTCAATTGTGTTTTCTTCTGTTAGCAGGCTACTCAATCTCGATTTCTTAAGTTAACTTCTCCCAGAGGTGTCTTGATGAAATAGGATGTTGTTCGTGCCACTTCTCCTCGCATGTAAAACATGGTTATAACTAGCCTGTGTCTGGTTTCAAGGTGAAACTAAATTTTTTTACTGGTTAACGTTTCTCTTTCTCAGCCCAGTTGTGATGGCAGCGCTGAAGCTTCTGTGTGCCAGCATCTCTAGTGCTTCAACACTGAGAGGTTTTGGAGCCATTTGTTGTATGTTGACCTGAATTGATGCATTGTCTTTAAGCACATAATAGTGGGTGAGGGGACACTAATGCAGTGTAACAGCTCTCCTGAATTCAGTGCAATCAACCACACCACCCAAGTAATATATTACAGTACTTTTCAAATACTTAAAATACTTTTTAAATAAAAGATTATCTTAAAAGATAAGGTTATGATTAAAATACCTAACCTAAAAACTTGGACTGTTGTTTTCTTTCCAGACTTTAGGCTACATGAAGAATAACGTCTGTCATTATTACATGATAAACGCCGCTGAAGCAGGGTGATGGGGGGTAGCAGGGCAGGCTTTTATTTTAACCAAGTTCTGCTTTTGTGGTTCAAGCAGCCAGCTTGGAACAAAAGCTGACGAAGCATATCCTGAAGTGGGAATAATGTGCGTAAGGAAGCCGAAAGCTAAGTTTTGCTAAACAATTCTTCAAAATCCCTTAAAAGTTCTGACACTAAAGTTTTTCTTGACGTTGAACTTCTTTGCAGCATTACAATGTGTTTTTAATACCAAATTTATTACACGAAGTAGATGAGGGAAACAATATGGATTTACACATAATGCTCCAATATGCTAAAGTTGACATCTGCACACTCTTCTTACCCCATTTTATTTAAAAAATAATAATTTAAAGATTCTTCCCTCATACTTTTCTGGGTTTCTGTTTGTTTTTAACGTGCATATTTAATTGGATTCCTGTTTAATCTTTAAAAGTGTGCATTTTAAGTGTATCGTTCAGGCAAAACATAATTTCACAAACCTCTAGATAATTCCCACCTTGTTCTTGACCAACTAGGGACAAAAGTGGAGTATTTCACATTTGATAATATATTTTGTCTTGAACAGACAGACAAAAATTCTCTATCAGCTTCTGAAGACAAAATGCCTTCCTAAGCAGAGGATAACAGTAGTGTAATTGACGTGCACTCAGGACAAAATTTCAGTCTGATCCTCATTTTCTATATATCTGAAATATGAATCTGAAATACTAGAAGTTGTAAGTTGTGACCTTCCCTGCCACTGCTGCTTTAGGTGATTACAGATGGCAGGTCAGTACTAGAACTGCCATTATTCCTCCAGCTTCAGTCACCGTTTGGCTTAGCAAGCTGGCAGCGTTGCTCCCGTTCATTCCGAACTGGTTCAGTCATGCATGGTGACTGCGCAGTACCGGTCAGTCTCCCCTTACTTCCCTGCCAATTTCAGCCTTTACCTACAATGTAAACTCATCACTTACTGTGTACTGAGTGTACACAAGAAGTCTGGAGAAAGGAAGACTTCCCCTTGACCAAGGAGGATTGGGTTAGAGATCGTTTAGGCAAACTTGACACCTGCAAATCCATGGGCCCTCGTGGGATGCACCTGTGAGCGCTGAGGGAGCTGGCAGGTGTTTTTGCGAAGCTGCTTTCCACCATCTTTGAAAGGTCCTGGAGAGCAGGAGAGATGCCTGAGGACTGGAGGAAAGCCAAAGTCACACTAGGTTTCAAAAACAGCAAGAAGGAGGACCCAGGAAACTACAGGCCAGTCAGCATCACTGCAATCCTTGGAGAGGTGATGGAACATACTCTGGATGTCATCTCTAAGCATGTGGAGGAAGAGAAGGTTATCAGGAGCAGTCAACATGGATTCACCAAGGGGAAATTATTCTTGACCAACCTGATAGCCTTCTATGATGGCATGACTGGTGGGTGGACAAGGGGAGGGCAGTGGATGTTGTCTACCTCGACTTTAGCACAGCTTTTGACGCTCTCTCCCATAACATCCTCATAGGTAAGCTCAGGAAGCATGGGTTAGATGAGTGGGCAGTGAAGTGAATTGAGAACTGACTGAATGGCAGAGCTCGGAGGGTTGTGATCAGCAGTACAGAGTCCCGGTGGAGGCCTGTTACTAGTGGTGTTCCCCAGGGGTCAGTACTGGGTCCAGTCCTGTTCAACACATTCATGAACAACCTGGAGGAGGGGACAGAGTGTACCCTCAGCAAGTTTGCTGATGACACAAAGCTGGGAGGAGTGGCTGAGGCTGCGCCGCCATACAGCGAGACCTGGACAGGCTGGAGAGTTGGGTGGAGAGGAACCTGATGAAGTTCAACAACGGCAAGTGTAGGGTACTGCACCTGGGGAGGAATAACCCCATGCACCAGGTTAGCGGTCGACCTGGTGGAAAGCAGCTCTGCAGAGAGGGACCTGGGAGTCCTGGTGGACAGCAAGTTGACCAGGAGCCAGCAATGTGCCCATGTGGCCAAGAAGGACAATGGTCTCCTGGGGTGCATCAGGAAGAGTGTGGCCAGCAGGTCAAGGGAGGTTATCCTCCCCCTCTACTCTGCCCCGGTGGGGCCATTATCTGGAGTACTGTGTCCAGTTCTGAGCTCCCCAGTTCAAGAAAGACAGGGAACTGCTGGAGAAGGTCCAGCTGAGCGCTATAAAGATGATGAAGGGAATGGAGCACTTCTCTCAGGAGGAAAGGCTGAGAGAGCTGGGTCTGTTTAACCTGGAGAAGACTGAGAGGGGATGTCATCAACGCTTATAAATATCTGAAGGGCAGGTGTCAAGAGGATGGGGCCAGACTCCTTTCAGTGCAGCCCGGCAACAGGACAAGGGGCAATGGGCACAGACTGGAACACAGGAAATTCTGTCTGAACATAAGGAAAAGCTTCTCTACTTTGAGGGTGACAAAGCACTGGCACAGGTTGCCCAGAGAGGTGGTGGAGTCTCCTTCTCTGGAGATACTCAAAACCTGCCTGGACACCATCCTGTGCAACCTGCTGTAGGTGACCCTGCTCTGGCGGGGGGGTTGGACTAGATGATCTCCAAAGGTCCCTACCAACACTGATCATTCTGTGATTCTGTGAATTAACTTCCGCACAGAAAACCAAACCTTACTGAAGCTGTTCATTTTTAATTCTGATGGTAGCTTCATTAACAAATACTTCACATTTCTAGATTTAACCTCATTTTAAATCTAGTTTTGCATAGAACATTAAATGCTTTACTGCTACATGAAAGTCAGTAGTAAGAAAATTGAACAAAGAGGTATTTTCTATATCTATTTAGAAATGGTTTCTCCCACCAGTATCGACAAATTTCTCATGGTATCACTTGGAACTGCAAGATCAAGCTATCGGAACCTTTCCTCTCTGAGCTTCAAGTATCTGTACACTAACACAAACCACGTACTCTTTAAACACTCTATACAACTAAAAAGGAAAACAAGACTAGAAATCAGTTTTAATAAACTCAGTTTTAATCAGTTTTAATTCAGAAGACGGCTTATCTTCTCTGTGTTTTACCAGATTTTCTCTTTCCAGCCAGCAGATGTTTTGGCTTCAAGTCAAATATGTGTCTGTCCGACTCTCCTTTCCTGCCCAGGCGATTCATTTTCTTTTGAGCCTTCTTTGCCATAGTCTTGACCTTCTTCACCATCTAGTTAAAAACAAACAAACATGCAGAGTAGCTTCCTCAGTAACTCACATAACTAGCTTTACCTTTTAAAAAAACACTAAGCTAGATGATTTTTTAACAAGGACATTAACTAACACCCAACATATGCCCCCACCTGCAACTCTGGAACAACATCGCTGCAAGCGACACATCCTTAGCGAAACTCTTCTTTCTCAAGTACACTAACATCATGATCGCACTATCCCTGGAATTCCTACCTTACTAAAGG